CCCCCCCCCCCCCCACTCTCTCGCTTGCATTCTCCTCTTCCTTCTGTCTTTCTCTTCTCATAACTGATTAGTTGGCTTCAAGAAGAAAGCAAAGGTGGCTCCTCCGACACCACAGAAAGGTAAGTTTTTCACCTACACAGTGAAAATTCAGCCAATATCTATGCTATTCTAGACGGCTAAAAATCTAAACTCTATTCTCTGCTAAACCACATTGAAGCTCTTTATTAATTTCTGAGTTATGTAAACTTCATTGTCACAAGATATCCATTTCTAAACACTTACAGACCTGAAGAAGGAAATTGAGGATTTCAAAAAAACATTAAAGAAGCGGTGAGTATTTTCAAGAAATGTTTCAAGTACATGTGTGTGTGTGTGTAATGTGTGTGTGTGTGTGTGTGTGTATGTATGTATGTATGTATGTATGTATGTATGTATATAATTGCGTGCTGACAATAAAGATTTATATGACATACTAAAGTGTAGGTTCTTTTGCAGTGGCATCATAATCCAAACAGGAGGACCGTCCACAGAAAACTGAAATGAAATCTATTTTAAAACATCTCTTTCAATTCTTATATCAGTTGTGATTTTTCTCTTAACAGAAGTTGCTATCAATAGCATGAGTCCTTATAAACATGGTTCTGTTTTGCAGCTCCTTTGTACCTTTTCTTTCTGATTTTTAAATTCCTTTATTTAAAGAGAATATATATGCACAAAAGAAGCCAGTGTTGCAGCCTATGTGATATTTTCTTTTTTCTAATATATTGTAAATATTAATTCACTCTTTTGATGATTACAAGAGTCAGAAAGCTCATCATCTCTCCATTTTATATTCATTGTATGTTATCTGAATTATTTTAATAATTGGAACTTGTTAAATTCAATTTTTATATTTAATTTTTGTATGTTTTATTTGCAATACTTTAAATAATGTGAGCCACTTTTGGTTGCAAATCTGGTGAGGGATAAAAAAATAATAATAACAATAATAATAATAATAATAATTTTTTTTCAAAATGTAATTTATAATTTATATCCTGCTTTTTTTCCTGACATGGAATTCAAGGTGCCTTACATATTAAAGCAAATATTTTACAGGAAAAAAAATCTACTTCCTGATAGCAGTTCTGCTATTGCAGGACACTTGGAAAGCATTTTATTACTCAAAATAATGGATGCTCTGGGTAATATATAACTTACATTCTACTATCATTTTGTTATTCTTTTTAATAAACTGGAGTCCTAAATTGCTGAAGGATTCTGCATGGCATTTCAAAAAGTTACTGGAATGAAAAGTACTTCCAGCCTACTAAAATATATTTAATATTTGGAAAGCTGTCTTCCTTTCATTTACAATTTGGATTTCTGTTCTTGGGAAAAATCTCAGATCGCCCCAAGCTGCTCAAAAGAAGGAAATTGATCCAGATCAGGTCTGGCAGTTATTGCTGAATGCAGACAAGAAGGATTATGAGAAGATCTGCTTGAAGTATGGTATTGTTGACTTCCGTGGGATGCTAAGGCAGCTTCAGGAGATGAAGAAGGAGAGGGAGGACAAACAAGCACAGGTAAAGATATTCTTCTCATCCTGTTCCACATTTATGTTGCAAATGTGAACAAAGTATGGTATAAGATTTTTCACAAGATATTGTATTGATCAAATGTTTTAGTAGAATTTGATTTCTTTCAAGATTCTGACAATTATAATGGTATCCATAAAAAGAAAGACTTCCCCAGAATTTGTATCAATTTCTCACCGTACATTGGGTTGAATCTGGGCAGGCAGTGAATTCCTAACTCAAAAATGCTATAAAGGATGAGAATTAGCCACAATCCTCTTAGAAATTACTTTCTGCCAGTAGAACAATATTTGGCACAATGATCTCAATGTTCCACCACTAGAACTGAAGAGCCAAAAAGTATGTGGGGTGGAGGAAGAGTAGGACGCTAATTTATGCCTGATCCAAGCCACCCCTAGGTTAGGTACATTATCACAGTTCCAACACAAAATTATGTGGTAAGAGGGGTTCTAAATATTTCCAGTATCTCAAGCCTGGAAGGGGTTTATATTTAGCTGAACAATGTCTGCTAAGCTTGGCCACCATGTCTACATCATCAAAAAGATGGACTTGCTGTTCAGCTGCTGCAGGGAGTCCACACAACAGCCAGCTGGATGTGCAGCAAAACTGCTGTGCCCAGCTCTCAATGCAGGTCAAGAGAACACTGGATTTACTCATCTCTTATCCAATGTCCACAACTCCAGTGAACCCTCCGCTGCATCTTTGCCAGCAGTCAACTTCCTGGCAACATCAATTTCTGGTGATGTCTCATTAGACTGTCCAAGCACGGTGTCACCAGCAGCCCCCTTCCACATGGCCACAAGATTGGCCTCAATGAGCCCTCAACCAGGCTGGATGAAGGGCTTGGGGATGCTCCTGGGTTGATTAATTCAGTAAGTGTAGACACACATTTAGCCACGCTTAGACTGTAGTCTACTGAACAAGATGGTCTACTCTTATCTAACTTAAGTACCACTGATTACATTGGGTTGACTTCAGTGTCAATCTAATCCTTTCATTTTAGAAAGAATAATGTTTGCAGTAATGATTATAATTATCCCCAAAACAATTTGTTGTAATCAGTTTAGACAGCAGAGAGCTTCTGGAAATATCATAGTATGCATTTATGTTTTCAACTTCCCCTTGTTCTTTGCAGTATGTTTACAATATTGCAAACCTTAAACATGTCAGAGTAAATCAAGAGCAAGCAAATGCTTCATTTGATGTAGAGATGGAACTGAAAAATCTGGAGAGCAGGATTTATCTATACAAGGTAAGACTGAATAATGGCTAAGATCACTCACTCTATCATACTAAATCAGATCATGGGGCTGCTGTGTTACAAATAAGTGCATAAGGAGCACAACAGAAAAATATAGGCACTTCTAAATGGCATATCTGAGTGAAGAACAGAATCAGGGCTGCATCTACTATTAAATAGGGCATAGTCCTGCATTTCTGTGTACAAACCCACACAATCTCTTCGATCATCTGGAGGGGCCCTGCTCACTCCCACCTCCTTCGCAGGTGCGATTGGTGGGGACGAGGGAGAGGGCATTCTCGGTGGTGGCCCTTTGACTCTGGAACTCACTTCCCAGGGACATTAGACATGCCCCAATTTTGGCAGTCTTTAAAAGGAGCCTGAAAATGTGGTTGTTCCAGTGTGCCTTCCCAGAATAAGAACTCTCCGCAATATGCCCCCATAATGCACTTTAATACTGACTTAGGATGGACTGCGTTCCCTTGTTTCTCTCTGAAAAATTCTATCCCAATTATATTTTACCTGTTCACATCAGCATATTTTCAATTTTAATCTATTACATTTGGCCCAGCCATTTTAAAAATTGTTTATATGTCACTATTGATTGTTGTTTTTTGTTTATTTGATTTATATGATTTGTATTTTATTGACTGTTTTATTAATGTTGTGTTATTGATGTTTTGTTTGATGTACTTTGGGCTTGGCCTCATGTAAGCCGCACCCAGTCCCTTGGGGAGATGGTAGCAGGGTACAAATAAAGTTTACTATTTATTATTATTATTTCTTTTTCTAGAATGCCAGCCAATTATTAGTTATTTGGAATATTCATATATATTTTTCTTATTTGAAAGCTATTAATTATAGTTCTTAGTTGAAATATAACAGAAAGCCATAGTTATCTACAAATATATTACTTCTGTGAAAAAAAGGGGAATAAAAATGTGTTGTTGAAGGTTTTAATGGCCAGAATCACTGGGTTGCGGTAAGTTTTCTGAGCTGTATGGCCAAAGGTCAGAAGAATATGCTTCCGGAACATGGCCATACCACCTGGAAAACTTAAAGGAACCCAAAGAATAAACATATATGTGTTCAGGCCTACAAAGCTCTGCATTAAGCTAAGGTATAGTCATCTAAAATTCATAGGCTGCTTCAAAGCTTGTATCATCTATGGCATCTAGAACAATCAATGTTGTGTCTTTATGATGATCTGTTGCCTTCTGTCTCTTGTTCCATTCAGGATGGAGAGATGATCAATTTTGGACTTAATGACGACAACGTAAAGCATTGCTTGCGGCAGGTTGGCAAAAAGTACAATTTTATCATCAACGATCTGCAGCCCGAAGATGCTGGGGTATATCAGATCAAAATAGAAGATGTAGATATCTTCTCCACTGAGCTGGAAGGAGAAAGTAAGGTTCTATAACTTAGGGTAGTGCACCAAACCCAACAAGAGTATGTATTTGTAATGTAACAAATGAAATATGGAAACAAATGGGGCCCATTTATTTCAATTGTTACTAGTGAAGAAATGAATACTAGAGTCACTAATGAGTTATGAATGTCATATATTAATGTGTTACTCACTTGATACTTATTTTGCCATTTGTTTTCATCTAGCAGCCAGAACAGATCTGATGAAGGTTGCATGGTAGTGTGTTGAGAAAATGATTAAAGGGAAAAATTGACACTCTTCTTGGCCATTACACCCAATGGAATATCCATGGGGCTACATTTTACCTTTGTATAACCTCTCAAACAAACTACAAAGTTTGTTCCAGTGAGAAGGATGTGGAATGATGCAGAGTGAGGAAGGGTGTATGACATATGTGATAATGGTGGAGAAGGTTGTGGAGATGAAGGTAGTAGAAGAAGAAGATCAAATTAGTGGTGGATTCATTCAGTGAAAGAACCCATGGTCCTAAGTATGAAAGGACTGAACAGAGATGTAAATTAAGAGAGTTGCTGGGGGTTTCTCATTCATAGGAATTCAAATAAGTCAAGGCCAACATGATGCTAAACTCAACAAAAAGATTTGGTGCTTTATTAATGGCAATATTCATATTTACAGAGGCAAAATATTTTTTAAAAAATCATATTTATAGAAGTGTCAGACAGTTTCTAGGGGTGTAGCTGTATCTTTTTTGTGCCCCCCAAATATTAGCTTGTATATTTTAGTCATTAAAATTTGTTTAGAAATCTTCACAGGTTACAAAAATACTCTTCCTGTTGACATAAGAATAAGCTCAATTCTCCACTTTTCATCAGACCTACTTACCAGATTGCTGGAGTAATCTGAAACCACAATTAGAGTTGGAAGTTGGGTTTACATTTTAGTAATTGTCTAGGTAATTTTGGGGGAACTCAGATCCAGGCCAGGGATCACTAAAAGCAACGGGCCTTGTGAATGTGCCCTCCATCTCAAATTAGTATCTCAAAGCTTCCCTATAGTTAGAATCTGTTACATGTCTACCATCCATTTGGTATTGCAGACATTCCAGTATATTTTCGCTACCCACTTGATGAGGCAAGATGCCACGAGCAAGGAAATGCTGTCTTTCAGTGTACCCTCTATGAACCCTGCTTCAATGCTGTCTGGTTTCACAAAAAAAATCAACTAAAGCCAAATGACAAGTATGAGATCTCAGTCTCAAATGATGGCCTAACTCACCATCTAGTCATCAAAAACGCCCAGCCTTCTGACAAAGGAACTTACACCATTGACATCGGAAGGCGTACTTCAAGCGCCTGGCTTGATGTTGAATGTGAGTGGTGATCTAATTTTGATTTCTCACAATATAATCCAGTGCAATCCATTTCTTTCATAATAGCACCTAACAGTACTATGTCTAAGAACTCACTGGTGTGCTTAACTTTAGGTCTTCTTGCCATTATTGTTTAGTCTTCTTTAAATTTTAACACATTGGTTTGGGTTTGAATTGTGGTTGAGCATGTTTAACACATATTATTGCTGTATGCACTTTAAAGAAAAAGTTCCATGGAGGATTTTATTAAACTTTAGAAATAACTGGTGCGGTAAAATATCTCCAGCAGTAGTGGCACAGTGTTGTTTGCTCCTAACACTAACCTGAATATTGTTGTTCCGTTTTAGATGCCATGTGTCATGGCCACTGACCTGACACATCCACCTTCTGTTAAGTTCTTGAAGGCATTCAATCTAATGGCTTTACTTTCCAGCAGCTCTTGGCTTCATGTGAGATTATATATATATATATATATATATATATATATATATATATATATCTGCTGGTTATTGTTAGCATTGTCTGCTGTTTGAGGATGGGAAACAAAGTAAATGTCCTATAATTTCTTCAAATATTGTTATAATAAAGGATGAAATGAGCCACATGTTATCAGAATGTAATAATTTGGGTGGAAGAACTTCATCATACTAGAGAATGAATTCACTTTAAATCCGGTTGATGCCTCCTACAGAATTCTGGGGTTTGTAGTTTAGGGAGGCACCTTTAACTGCCTCACTAAATTACAAACCCCAGAATTCTGCAGGAGGCAGAAACGGGATTTAAAGTAGATTTATTCTCTAGTGCGATGAAGTGTTTGTCTGTTTGTCACAAGGAAAGTTGTTCTCACACAATCTCCCATTCATTTCCCAAAATGACCTTGCATTTTCAATTAATTGTCTTTATTTTTATAATACAGCTAAAGGAAAACGAAAACAGACAGAAGGAAATAGTAATGATAAAGCTGGTTGGCAGAGCAAACTTTTAAATGAAGACCATGCTAAGAAGCTTCGTCAGGGGGAAGGGCATGAAGATCAAGACCATCTTGATGACTCCAGCAGGGGCAAAGATGACCAATATAAGAAAGGCCAAGATGGTGGTGCAGAATTGTTTAGCCCCTTAGGAAAAGAGGGATATGTGGGAAAAGATGGGAAAATGAGACAGTTTTCTGCAATTGGGACAAACAATGCTAATGATTATAATCATCAGATGGGACTTTATGGTACAGATGGTATATCAGGGGGCACAGTCACAGGTGAATTTAGTGGTGTGGGGGGAGCTGCAGGACTCCATGGGAAGGAAGGTATGCTAGGTAGCTTTGGTGGTCCCGGTGGTCCTGTTGGTTTGGGTGGACTTTATGGCAAGGATGGTACGACAGATGGAACAGGCCTTGGTTGGCTTGATGGTACTGGTGATGTTGGTGGACTCTATGACAAAGATGGCAAGCAAATTGGAGCGGGGGTTGGTGGACTTCGTGCTGCTGGGAGTATTGGGGGACTCTATGATAAGGATGGCAGGGCAATTGGAGCAGGTGGTAGTGGACTCTATGACAAGGATGGCAAGCCAGTTGGAAAAGGGATTGGTGGATTCTATGACAGAGATGGCAGGCCAGTTGGAGCAGGACTTGATGGTCTTTATGACAAGGATGGCAGGCCAATTGGAGCGGGACTTGGTGGTCTTTATGACAAGGATGGCAGGCCAATTGGAACAGGTGGTAGTGGACTCTATGACAAGGATGGCAAGCCAATTGGAGCAGGACTTGGTGGTCTCTATGACAAGGATGGCAGGCCAATTGGAGCAGGTGGTAGTGGACTCTATGACAAGGATGGCAGGCCAATTGGAGCAGGACTTGGTGGTCTTTATGACAAAGATGGCAGGCCAATTGGAGCGGGACTTGGTGGTCTTTATGACAAGGATGGCAGGCCAATTGGAACAGGTGGTAGTGGACTCTATGACAAGGATGGCAAGCCAGTTGGAGCAGGACTTGGTGGTCTCTATGACAAGGATGGCAGGCCGATTGGAGCAGGACTTGGTGGTCTTTATGACAAAGATGGCAGGCCAATTGGAGCAGGACTTGGTGGTCTCTATGACAAGGATGGCAGGCCAATTGGAATAGGTGGTAGTGGACTCTATGACAAGGATGGCAAGCCAATTTCAGCAGGAATTGGTGGATTCTATGACAAGGATGGCAGGCTAATTGGAACAGGACTTGGTGGTCTCTATGACAAGGATGGCAGGCCGATTGGAGCAGGAATTGGTGGTCTCTATGACAAGGATGGCAGGCCAATTGGAGCAGGACTTGGTGGTCTCTATGACAAAGATGGCAAGCCAATTGGAGCAGGGATTGGTGGTGATCTCTATGGCAAGGATGGCAGGCCAATTGGAACAGGTGGTAGTGGACTCTATGACAAGGATGGCAAGCCAATTTCAGCAGGAATTGGTGGATTCTATGACAAGGATGGCAGGCTAATTGGAACAGGACTTGGTGGTCTCTATGACAAGGATGGCAGGCCGATTGGAGCAGGAATTGGTGGTCTCTATGACAAGGATGGCAGGCCGATTGGAGCAGGAATTGGTGGTCTCTATGACAAAGATGGCAAGCCAATTGGAGCAGGGATTGGTGGTGGTCTCTATGACAAGGATGGCAAGCCAATTGGAGAAGGCATTGCTGGATTCTATGACAAATATGGCAGCCCAATTGGAGCAGGACTTGGTGGTCTCTATGACAAAGATGGCAAGCCAATTCAATCAGGTATTAGTGGATTCTATGACAAGGATGGCAAGCCAATTGGAGCGGAAGTTAGTGGACATGGTTGTGCAGGTGGTGTTGGGGGCCTCTATGACAAGGATGGCAAGCCAATTGGAGCAGGACTTGGTGGTCTCTATGACAAAGATGGCAAGGCAATTGGAGCAGGTATTGGTGGATTCTATGACAAGGATGGCAGGCCAATTGGTGGAGGACTTGGTGTTCTCTATGACAAGGATGGCAGGTTAATTGGAGTAGGTGGTAGTGGACTCTATGACAAGGATGGCAAGCCAATTGGAGCAGGGATTGGTGTTTTCTATGACAAGGATGGCAAGCCAATTGGAGCAGGGATTGGTGGTGGTCTCTATGACAAGAATGGCAGACCAATTGGAGAAGGTGGAGGTGGTCTCTATGACAAAGATGGCAAGTCAATTGGAGCAGGGATTGGTGGATTTTATGACAAAGATGGGAAGCCAGTTGGTGGAGGACTTGGTCTCTATGACAAGGATGGCAGGTTAATTGGAGCAGATGGTAGTGGACTCTATGACAAGGATGGCAGGCGAATTGGAGTAGGTGGTAGTGGACTCTATGACAAGGATGGCATGCCAATTGTAGCAGGAGTTGGTGGATTCTATGACAAGGATGGCAGGCTAATTGGAGCAGGTGGTAGTGGACTCTATGACAAGGATGGCAAGCCAATTGCAACAGGACTTGGTGGTTTCTATGATAAGGATGGCAAGCCAATTGGAGCAGGATTTGGTGGTCTCTATGACAAAGATGGCAAGCCAATTGGAGCAGGTATTGGAGGCTTTTATGACAAAGATGGCAAGCCAGTTGGTGGAGGACTTGGTGGTCTCTATGACAAGGATGGCAAGTTAATTGGAGCAGATGGTAGTGGAATCTATGATAAGGATGGACGGCCAATTGAAGTAGGTGGTAGTGCACTATATGACAAGGAAGGCAGGCCAATTGGAGCAGGTGGTAGTGGACTCTATGACAAGGATGGCAAACCAATTGTAGCAGGAGTTGGTGGATTCTATGACAAGGATGGCAGGCTAATTGGAGCAGGTGGTAGTGGACTCTATGACAAGGATGGCAAACCAATTGTAGCAGGAATTGATGGATTTTATGACAAGGATGGCAAGCTAATTGGAGCAAGTGCTAGTGGACTCTATGACAAGGATGGCAGGCCAATTGGAGCAGGACTTGGTGGTCTCTATGACAAAGATGGCAAGCCAATTGGAGCAGGGATTAGTGGACTCTTTGACAAGGATGGCAAGCCAATTGGAGCAGGGATTGGGGGACTGTATGACAAGGATGGCAAGCCAATTGCAGCAGGGGTTGGTGGACTCTATGACAAGGATGGCCGGCCATTTGGAGCAGGACTTGGTGGTATCTTTGACAAGGATGGCAAGCCAATTGGAGCAGGTGGTATTGGACTCTATGACAAGGATGGTAGGCCAATTGGAGCAGGTAGTAGTGGACTCTATGATAAGGATGGCAAGCCAATTGGAGCAGGGGTTGGTGGCCTCTATGACAAGGATGGCAGGCCAGTTGGAGCAGGATTTGGTGGTCTCTATGACAAAGATGGCAAGCCAATTGGAGCAGGGATTAGTGGACTCTTTGATAAGGATGGCAAGCCAATTGGAGCAGGGATTGGGGGACTGTATGACAAGGATGGCATGCCAATTGGAACAGGTGGTAGTCGACTGTATGATAAGGATGGCAAACCAATTGGAGCAGGGATCAATGGCATGATAACTGTATCTGGTGAAAGTGAAGCAGCTTTTGGTGGAGTCGATGGACTCCATGGCAAGGATGGCATGCTAAATGGTAGTGGTGAAGCTGGTGATACTAGAGGGTTTGCTAGACTGTATGGTAAAGATGGTATGCTAATTGGAGCAGGAAGTGCTGAGGGAACAGCTGCATTCTATGGAAAAGATGGCATGTCAGCTGGGATAGGCCCTGGTGGTGCTGGGGATATTAGTGGGCTGGGTGAAATTGGTGCTGGAGTAGCAGACGGAGCTCGAAGAGCAGGTAGATTTTATGACAAGGATGGCATGATAGGTGAAGGTGGTGGTTCTGGGGGAGCAACTGGACTCTTTGGGCAGGATGGCATGTTGGATAGGGTAGGAGCTGGTAGACCTGGCGGGGCTAGGGGAGGAGCTGGATTCTTTGATAAAGATGGTATGCCAGTTGGAGCAGGTACTGGTGGTACTGGTGGAATTTATAGCATGGCAGGTGGATCCAGTTATGGGGAAGCAGGTGGCCTCTATGGCAGGGATGGGTTTCCAGCTGGAGTAGGTACTGGTGGAGCTGGAGGAGTAGATAGGCTGTATGGCAAGGACAGTATGCTACATGAAATTGGTGCTGTTGGTACTGGGCATGGTGAAGGAGGATGGTTGGGCAGTCGAAGAAGACAGCTGTCAGATTTAGATGTCAGTGGACTTATTTCAGTTGATACTTCAAGTGGTAGAGACAGAAAACGGAGAGGAGGAAGTCTGCTGGAAGATGACATAAGAGGTATTGTATTGCCACTTTGTACCTGTCTTTAAAAATGTAACATTCAAATATACACCTTTTAAAAATAGACATAAACCTCTCTTTGTGCAGAACCGTACAGTCGTTTTACTCAAGGTTTGTTTGATGTCCATGCTCAGAAAGGAAGACAAGCAGTCTTATCTTGCAGCCTTAACAATGATCAGCTTGAGGGAATCTGGTTTAAAGATGGCTTCAAGGTATGCCTTTTCATATTAGGCTGTGTTGCCTTCAGTTGAAAACTGCAAACATTATGAGGTCTCATGAAATTTATTTTCAAATCAGATTGACAGAAACTATATAAATAAAAATGTAATGTTTGTTTGTGGGATTAACATAACTCAAAAACCACTGGATGAATTGCTGCCAAATTTGGCCACACGACACCTACTAAACCAAGGAGTGTCCATCACTCAAAAAAAAAAAAACCACCAAAAGAAACAGCAAAGGGGACTTTTAAATCCCCAAAATAAAGAATAAATTACAGCACATGCACGAATACCCCTCCCCCACATGCGAAGGAAAACCAATGCACCAACCATCCGTAGGGAGCTGGCCATCCCTACTGGCGCCAAATGGGGCCTTGCTATGGAGTCAGGCTGCGGCTCCGACGCACACTGTAGAACAGATGCAGTTTGGCCCCACTTTTGACTCTGGAGGACCGACCAAGACAGCCGCCAGGAGGAGTGCAGTAACAGGATGCCGAGCAGCCATGGCCTGCCTGAGACTCAGCGCAAGGGGCGAAGGGAAGACAGAGGTGAAGGCAGGCAAGGGAGGAGGGAGGAGAGGAAGGAGGCAGGCTCAGCTCCTCACAGTGATTCCCACACACTAGACTTTAACTCCCAAAAGCCTCTGCTACCTTGGACAGTGAGAAAGGAATCTGGGAATTGAAGTCCAAAAGACTTAGTGTTTCCTGCTCTGTTTGGCCTCCAAGGATAGATAGAGGATGGCAACCACCTGTCTGGGGTACCCGCTATCTTTGTGCTCTGGCCTCGGCATGCACTGTCTGCCAGCTACAGAGGAAGCCCAAGATGATGGTGGCGGTGGTGGGAGAAGTGGGCACAGAGCTCAAGGGAAGGGGAACAAGGAAGATGCTCTGAGCGCCTAGGCTGCAGGTAGAAAGCAACAGGAGAGAGAAACAACAGGAGGCACCCCTAAAGCCAAGATCTCCCTAACATGAAAGGAAGGAAGGAAGAACATGGGAAGGAAGGACAGAAGAAGGCAGAGAAAAAAGAGGGAATGAATAAAGGAGGGCAAGGGGGAAGGAACGAAAGAGGGAAGGAGGGTGGAAAAGAAGGAAGGAAATAAAGAAGGGAAGAAGGAAGGGGAAGGAGAGAAGGAAGGAAGAAAGAAGGGAAAAAGGAAAGAGAAAGGAAAGAAAAATGGGAGGAAAGGTAGAAAAGAGGTAAAGAAGGAAAGAAGGGGAAAAGGAAATAAAAAGTGAAAGAATGAAAAAAAAACAGGGAGGCAAGGAAGGAGAGAAGGGAAGAAGAGAGAAAGGACGGGGGGGGGGGGGGGGGAGGAAGGAAGGAAAAAGAGAAGGAAGGATGAACAAGGAAGCAATGAAAGAAAGAGGGAGAGAAGGAAGAAAGGAGAAAAAGCAGAAGGGAGAGAAAGAGGGGTCAAGGAATAGGTACCTCTCTTCATAATAGTCCAGACAGCTACCACTACTACAAAAATTCTTACTTTAAGCCACAGCAACGTGTGGAAGGGCACGGCTAGTAAACAATAAAAAGGGAAACCGCTCTATTAAAACAAAAGATTAAGAGGCAAGAATGATTGGAGAAAAGTACACATACAGCAGAAGACTATTAAACTATGTTAATTCAGAAAGTAGCAATAGCAAGATTGAGGAACAAATGTTTTATATTATTGTTTCAAACCAACTCAGAAAGAAAAAGTGGATCAACAATCCCAAATGCCAGCACTTCAAACACAAATTTTCCTCTGCACAGATGTCATTACTCAATTGTGTGCTACACTGCTTATTTTTAACCCTCTCAGGCCCCTTCTACACTACCAGATAAAATCCAGATTATCTGCTTTGAACTGGATTTTATGGCAGTGTAATCTCATATAATCCAGTTCAAAGCAGATGATGTGGATTATCTGCTTTGATTCTATGGATTATATCCAAGGCATATGTCAGCATTAGGTCTTCTGTTGGCTTTGTTCTACCTACAGATAAAAATCTTAAGACTCTCTGGGGTAGAGTCTCACATATGTAAAATGTCTCCTAGGTGCCATGAATTTAGTAGAATTTGTAGTACAAATTTTGAAACAACAACAAGATACCAACCAGATGTGCCTCTAAGAATCGTAAGAACAGATAGTCATGTGTAAGAGTCCTGTGGGGTCCTGCAGGGCTCAGTATTGTCCCCCATGTTGTTTAATATCTACATGAAGCCGTTGGGACAGATCATCCAGAATCTGGAGTTCGATGTCATCTGTACTCAGATGACATTGAATTCTATCACTCTTTTCCACCCACTGCTAAGGAGGCTATCCATGTCCTGAACTGGTGCCTGGCAGCTGTGACGATCTGGATTAGGGAGAACAAATTGAAATTAAATCCAGACAGATGTACTCATGGTCAGTCAAAAGGCTAAAAAGGATATAGGTTCACAGCCTGTGCTGAATGGGGTTACATTCCCCCTGAAACCACAGGTTCATAGCTTGGGAGTTCTCCTGGATTCATCACTGAGCCTGAAACCCCAGGTTTCAGCGGTGGCCAGGGGATCTCTTACACAATTAAAACTTGTGCGCCAGCTGTGCCCATATCTTGAGAAACCAGATTTGGCCATGGTGGTCCATGCTGTTGTTACATCTCGAATAGATTACTTCAATGCATTCTACGTGGAGTTGCCTTTGAAGACTGTTTGGAAGCTTCAAGTAGTCCAACAGGCAGCCAGATTGTTCACTGGAATGGCCTACAGGGAGCATACTATGCCCCTGCTGCATCAGCTCCGCTGGCTGCCAATTTGCTACCAAGCACAATTCAAAGTGCTGGCTTTAGCCTATAAAGCCCTAAATGGTTCTGGCACAGCTTACCTGTATGAATCTATCTCCCTCTATGAACCAGCTGAAATGCTAAGATCTTCTGAGGAGGCCCTGCTCTCGGTCCCACTTCCTTCGCAGGTGCAGTTGGTGGGGACAAGGAACAGGGCCTTCTCAGTGGTGATCCCTCGGCTTTGGAGCTCCCTTCCCAGTTAAATTAGATTGGCCCCCTCTCTCCTGGCCTTTAGAAAGAAACTTAAAACCTGGCTGTGGAATCAAGCATTCGGAGAGTAGCACAGTGCAGTTGGCAGCTATGGCGTGACTGAAATATAATTGGAATGTCTCCTGGATTATGATTTGGGTTTTTGAGCTTTTAACAGTTTATTTAATGTATTGATTGTTATGATTTTATTAGTAGTATTGATTTTAATGTATAATGTATATTGTACTTGTATGTTTTTGTTTCTTCTGGCATCAAATTGTTGCCAGTTTGGAAGCCACTCTGAGTCCCCTTCAGGGTTGAGATAGAGCAGGGTAAAAATGCAGCAAATAAAAAAGAGCTCTTTTTCTTTGACAGCCTCTCATTTTGTTTGCTTCCAACACACAAAGATCCCTTAGTGGTATTTGAACAACAGACATATGATTTCAGAAAATTGAGAAAATGTTTTTACATATAGATTAGAATGCAATCTGTAGTTATTTGAATATTAATTACATATTCTAAAATATTTTTCCCTCCTTCTTTCTATATTCTGGCAAGATAACAGACCTGGATGGAATCTCCATTAAGAAAGAGGGCTCACTCCACAAACTAATAATAGATGAAGTACAAGATAAGCATGCTGGAAAATACAAATTTGAAGCTGAAGGTGTTCGAACAGAGGCATCTATATTTGTTGAAGGCAAGTTTAATCACCCTATGTTGTTGCAGAAAGAAAATATATCATATATACTTTTGTATTAGTTAAGACAAATTAGGGGGCCAAAATTAGGCACCCTTTCCTTTCTCTTCCTTCCATTCCTTCTCTTTCTTCCTTCCCTCTCCCTCTTTTCCTTCTCCCTTTTCTCTTTCTTTCCTTCATTGCCCTCATACTTTTTCCTCTTGCCTTCCTTTTCTCCTTCCCTCCTTCCCTTCTTTTTCTTCCTCCCCTCCCTCCCTTCTCCCTTCCTTACTTTTCCTTCTTTCTTCTTTCCCCTCATACATTTTCAACTAGAAAGAGCAAATGTCCACATATGACCTAGTATAATCTCCTAGGGCCTGTTCACATGGGAACTTTTTTTCTGGAAAGCGTCATCTGATGATGTTGGTTTGGCCTCACCCATATTCCTTCTGAAGTGGAGGAGAATCATTACAAGATGCTTCCTTTGCCACCACAGAGAGGATAGTGTTGTTCTGATAGCTCCAATGGAGCTACCTGCCCTTTAGGTTCTTGTGGGTTTTTTCGGGCTATAGGGCCATGTTTTAGAGGCATTTCTCCTGATGTTTCGCCTGCATCTATGGCAAGCATCCTCAGAGGTAGTGAGGTCTGTTGGAATTAGGACAATGGGTTTATATATCTGTGGAATGGCTAGGGTGGGGCAAAGAGCTCTTCTCTGCTGGAGCTAGGTGTGAATGTTTCAACTGACCACCTTCATTAGCATTTGAAGGCCTGGCTGAGCCTGGGAAAATCTTGTTGAGAGGTGTTAAGATGTGCCTGGTTGTTTCCTCTCTGCTGTTTTGCTGTTGTAATTTTAGAGTTTTTTAATACTGGTAGCCAGATTTTGTTCATTTTCATGGTCTCTTCCTTTCTGTTGAAATTGTCCACATGCTTGTGGATTTCAATGGCTTCTCTGTGTAGTATGACATGGTGGTTGTTGGTGTGGTCCAGCATTTCTGTGTTCTCAAATTATGCTGTGTCCAGGTTGGTTCATCAGGTGCTCTGTTATGGCTGACTTCTCTGGTTGAAGTAGTCTGCAGTGCCTTTCATGTTCCTTGATTCGTGTCTGGGCGCTGCGTTTGGTGGTCCCTATGTAGACTTGTCCACAGCTGCATGGTATACGGTAGACTCCTGCAGAGGTGAGAGGATCCCTCTTGTCCTTTGCTGAACGTAGCATTTGTTGGATTTTCTTGGTGGGTTTGTAGATTGTTTGTATGTTGTGTTTCCTCATTAGCTTCCCTATGCGGTCAGTGGTTCCCTTGATGTATGGCAGGAACACTTTTCCTCTGGGTGGATCTTCATCTTTACTCTCGTGGCTTGTTCTTGGTCTTGCAGCTCTTCTGATGTCAGAGGTGGAGTATCCATTGGCCTGGAGAGCCCAGTTGAGGTGGTTCAGTTCATCTTGGAGGAGGTGGGGTTCGCAGATTCTTTTTGCACGGTCTGCCAAGGCTTTAATGGTGCTTCTTTTTTGACTTGGGTGATGGTTGGAGTTTTTATGTAGATATCTATCTCTGTGTGTGGGTTTTCTGTAGACAGTGTGACCCAATTGTTGATCTGCTTTGCGGATGACTAGGACATCTAGAAAAGGCAGTCTTCCTTCATTTTCTTTTTCCATGGTGAATTGGATTTTTGGGTGGATGCTGTTAAGATGGTCCAGGAACCTGTTGAGTTCTTCTTCTTCGTGGCTCCAAATGGTGAAGGTGTCATCCTGCCCTTTCCTCTCCTTTTGCCTATATGAGGACAGGGACAGGGTAGCAGCACACATTGTCCCATCCCCATCATATGATGGGGGAAGGAGGGGGGTGCAAGGGGCATCACAATGCAACCCACACATCTGCTGTTTCACTGGCAACTGCCAGTGAAATGGCATGGCACATGAAGAGGCCCCTAGTGTGGTTGTGGGCTAGGAAGGAGAGGAAAATGTGTAATTATTCATTTCCAGGATAAGGGAACCACTTCCCAACATTTAGGACATTCAATAGGAGTAATAAATGATCAAGAATTTTGTGCAAATTTTCCTCGTATATGAGTGTACCAAAATATTGCAGGTGTATTATCCTAACCACCACCTCCCACCCCTCAGAATTTTATGGACAGAAAATGTTTCTCTTTGACAGAAAACTAATTTAATGCCAATTTCCCTCAGACACCTAGTCCCCACCCACCCATGAATAATTCCACTACAATATTATGAGGTATTTGAATATAAGAATACTGTGAAGGAATATATGAGATTTTTTCTTGAGAAGGAAGCTATCATAAATATCAGTCCTTGTATGTAAAGTTGAAATAGTTGTGGATTTACATTTCTATTATCAACCTTAATAAAAACAGAACTTCCATCATATTTTTGACATAACATGACATATCTTTTTTTTCTACGTGCAGATCCTCCAAATGTTGACTCTGCACTTCTAGAAAAACTGAAAAAGGAACCGATAGTGGTAAAGGCAGGAAAGAATGCTATAGTGAAGATCCCATTTGAAGGCCAGAAGCCAATCAGATCATCTTGGTTAAAAGATGAGGGTGAACTTCTGGATGATGCCAGGATCAACACTGAGTATTCAGACAACTACACTCGCCTGTGCATATCCAGTGCAAACCGGAAGGACTGTGGAGAGTACAAAGTGAAACTGAGAAATGAAAGTGGAAGCACTGAAGCTACTCTCAAACTGATAGTGATTGGTGAGAGATCACTAGTATTCAAGCAGTTATTTTCATAATGCGTGAGATCATGAAACAATGTTTAATACTCATATTAATACTGACAATATTTCCATGATTTAAATGTGGCTACTATGTTCCATCCTAACCTTCTATTCTCCAAGCTAAACATAACCCAGCTCCTTCAGTGATCCTTCATATATCTTGGCTTCCACCATTTACCATTTTATTGGCACTATCTGAAGTGCTGCTTAGAAGCAGGTAAAGAAGAACATGCAACACTTGTTAGGAATAAAGATCAGATTGGTGAGGATCACTAGTATTCAAGAAGTTATGATGGTGAAGCATGAAATGGTGAAAATGATGGTGAATTTTAATAGTCATGAACAATTTAATATCCATAGGGTATTAAATCTAATCACACACACAGTAGCACATTTGGAAATGGTGAAACAGACATGAATAACAGTAACATATGAGCTTTTCAGTCCCAATAAACTGGTATTCTAGCATAAAAAGCTACAAAACAGATTGAAAGCTAATCAGTGGTCGCTTTACATCTCTCCTAAGTCTTCCATTCATAAAGTTGGGGGCCCTTGTGTTGATTTTACCAGCTTCTTTCAACAGAAAAAGAGAGACAAAGAAAACATTTCACTGTTAATTCAGAGGCAAAACCTTTTTCATTATGTTCTCATTGTTTCTCATTTCAGATAAGCCACAGCCACCAACTGGACCTGTAGAAGTTGTGGAGACCTCCACAAGTGGCATAACCATCCAGTGGAAGCCCCCCAAAGATGAAGGTGGCAAACCAATTCAGAGTTATGTTATTGAAAGGCAGCAAGTTGGCAGAAAGACTTGGGTGACATTAGGAGAAACCACTGGAAACAGCACTATTTTCACCACCAACAAAGTAGAACAAGACAAGAGTTATTACTTCAGGGTGAGGGCAGTGAATGCAGAGGGTACCAGTGAAGTGCTTGAATCTGATGAAGTGATGGCAGCTTCCAAAGGTAATGGTGGGGTCTCTCCATATATTTGTTTGTCAAACTGTCATGAAAGCAATGAATATCTTTTCCAGTTCACCAAAAACTGTAGCACTTGACTGAAATGTAGCTCAAAGGTATCCAGAGTTAATTTTAACTTGAAACTGAAGTTTCCCTCCAGGTAGTTCAGCTCTGAAAAAATCCTCAGGTTCCCAGTGATAGACAAAAATGTCCAATCTTAATTCTGTACTTTATTTATTTTTTAAAAAGCCTTCTCAGAAGCTTACTTTGTTTCCCCCCAAAATGAAGGCCACTGTTCACCATTAATAAAGGTAATATGGGGCTGTATTTACAGATCATGTTAATTCAGGAAAGTAATCCACAATGTGAATGATCTGCAACCCTTCTACAAATAGACAAACTTGAGAATGAGAACTTATCATTAATGCTTATGAGACTATCTCAGGTTTCAAAAGACAACATTAAGGTGGTTTATGAACCCAATTTATTTAGGCATAGTTTACTGCAGTTTTAGTTTGTCCGTTCAATCAAGTGATTGAAGGACAAAATAAAAACACACAAGGCGTATACATCAACACATGCACACTGTGGTTTATTCAGCAAGCCTGCTATAACATATTATACAGAGTAAAGAATTGAACTTTATAGTTCCTGTCATTTTTGCAGCAAGATATTACTAATGAAAGATCTAGAACAGAATGGATTTTAACTTGAAATATGCCTGTTGAAAGATATATAAAAAACAATGCTGACTTCCCAGGATAGCATTACTTTTTTCTTTTCTTATTGACAATTTGTTTAAAATTGATCTGAGATCAATTTGAGGAAAATATTTCTTAGAAAATCCTTCTATTTTAGAATATTGCATTTTTAAAAAAACATAATTATGACAAGTTCTCTTTTCCCTAGTTTTTCCTGGTCCTCCTGCTCCTCCTAAAATTATCAGTGCCAACAGGGGTGCCATCACACTCTCATGGGCAGCACCACATAAGACAGGAAACTCTCGGATCTTGGGATACACCGTTGAGAAAAGCAAGAAAGGCAGCAATACCTGGATACCTGTCACAGATTTGCCCATAACAGGTAATGGATTAACACATTTCTAGTGGAGTCAGTGGGTGAAAGGTTTGCCGGAATATTCAGGTAGTTTCTTCTAGAGGACTAGTTTAGCTATGGAAGGATATAATAACAGGTTGGTTTCTATTATATACTGCAATTGGCTGTAAGGCACTGAACAAATGTCACAAACTTATGTAGAGTACATGAACAATTAGTCTGATTAGAATTTCTTCCAGATTTCTTTGGATTTCTTTTTCTAATCAGTTTTTCTGGGATTATTTTCCCTTAGTGATAGGAAGAGATCAGGTCAAAGAACTGTTATAGTCTAGATATAGAAAACCACACCATATTTGGAATGTAATTACTCCACATTGTATTATTCTGTTCTACAGAGAAGAAATATACAGTGACTGATCTGAAAGAAGGATTGCTGTATGAATTCCGTGTAGCTGCTATTAATAGTGCAGGAACTGGTGAAGCCAGTGCACCTTCGGAAGCTGTTTTTGCTCGAGATCCGATGAGTAAGTAATACAAAGCACAGCAGAGAAAATGTATATGGGCAGCATAGTGAAAATGAGGTGATGGAGGAGAGAGAGCAAGATAGAAAGACTGAATCTACACTTCCATATAATTCAGTTTCAGAATGCTTTGAACTGGACTATGAGTCTGCATTGCCATATAACCCAGTTCAATGCAGTTAATCTGCATTCAGAAACCAGATTATATGGCAGTGTAGATGGGGCCAAAGAGATGTTTTACACAAAATATCCCCTACCCTCATAAATTCAACTGATCGCTTGATAAGCACCATTGTTCCAATGTAAATTTAAATTGCAGTATCAAATTTAAATTACAGCATCCACCTACCTTTCTCAGGCCCCATCTACACTGCCATATAAAATCCAGATTATATTTTTGAACTGGATTATATGGCAGTATAGACGAATATAATCCAATTCAAAGCAGATAATCTGAATGTTATATGGCAGTGTAGACGGGGCCTCTGTCCTGCCAAATTAGTATATCTGAAGGTCCATTCAGACAGAGCCCAAATTGCGCAAACTCTAGTACTTTTACTGGTGGCATCCTTTGGACGCCTATGTAAAAGTGAATTAATTCAAGACAAAGCAGGAAAACCCTACTGTATGATGAAATAATTAGATAACCTATTAGGTCTGATCCTTCCTGAAAGGCCCGGTTCTAATGGACTATGGGCCCCATGGGGAAAAACTACCAGATAGTTCTGGGATTACCCGGGGGTCAGTCCCCACACCGAGCTTGCACCTTTTGGACTCCTGGAGTCCAAATATACGAGACGGCACCCATCCCATTCATAACCCCTCTCCCCCCCCCCTGCCAAAGCCCTAAAAACTGTCAAAAATTTTTACCAGGACATCTTTAGGCCTCCTTGCATGCCTCCTGAGATGAAGTAATGAAATGCCAGGAAGTGGGGGATCTCTCCTTCCCCCAACCACCTCCTTCTGCATCATTGATACATTCCAGGAGGCATACAAGGAAACCTAATTGCAGTGTTTAACCATTTTTAGGGGTTTAGAGGGTGTTGGGATGGCTGGATACCATCTCAGGAGTTACCYGAATGGTATGTAGTCACCTGCCGGGAAAGCCCATTTTTGGGGATTTCAGAGTAGGTTTCGTCAACATTCTCCGAATGGATTTAAGTGTAATCTAGAAARGCCCTGAAAGTGTAATCTAGAAAACACCCTGAATGAGGAATGCCCAGATGGTACAAATCYTTATTAATTGTATCCACAGAACAAACCATGAATCAAATGCATAAGAAAAAAATGTTAATTACAAAATTGGAAATAAGTGTTACTTTTATTAATACTTTATATTGTAGAAGGAATGGTGTAGATGTCGGTAAATTATGATGAGGAAAATGTATTGCAGCAAGGCAAAGAATAAGGAATGAATAACAGAAAGACAGGCTAAACGAAGAATTACATTTTCCACTAAATTATAAATGATTAAAACATTTTGCTGTCATTAAATGATAAATTAATATACTACAGTGAGTAACAGAACAAAGACAAATAGTGGACACAGCATTTAAATACATTTTTTCCTGATTTTAGACATATGTATTCATCTTTTCTTTTCAGAGCCTCCTGGTCCAGTGAAGGATCTTAAGGTGGTGAATACTGACTACTGCAGTATCTCACTGTCATGGACAAAACCAGGGAAAGAAGAAGAAAGTCCTGTCAAAGGCTATATTGTAGACATGCGACACACTGATATGCTGAAGTGGACCCAATGTAATGCCCTCCCAATACCAATGACAGCATATATTGTTAGAGGACTAAAACCCAGGGAAATGTACTTCCTTCGGGTGAGAGCAGTCAATGATGGTGGATTTGGTGAACCTGTAGAACTTGACAGTTATGTTCAAACTATACCTCCCATTGGTAAGTAAAAATTTAAGCATTTGAAGATCTACAACGAGATAACCTATTCCGAAATACAACATATAAATGATTTTCCATGCTTGCAACTGCTACTGTTAAACTACTGGAATTATGCAATTATTGATTCATCTTTACAAGATTTTCATTTTGATCACGAAATAAATTTATGGACAATACAGTATTAATCAGTTACTAGACATAATATGTTGTTTCCAGCTTAAGGCAACCTGTAGGTGAATCTATTATGGAACTGAAAATGGTTTTTCCTAATTTCAGCCAATATAAGAACATTACTGATTTATTTATTTATTTATTTCGTGTACTTCTACCCCGTCCTTCTCAGCCCCCGAGGGGGGACTCAGGGCGGCTTACAAAAAGGCACAATTCGATGCCTACACAATAAAACAGATAAATGTGTAAAACAGCAATTAAAACAATTAAGACAGTTAAAACAATCAATATATATCACAGTCAATAAACCAATCTCAAGCTCAGCGTTCGCCAACTCAGAGTCCATATTTCATTCTACATTATCTATTTCTATCAGTCATCGTAGTCCTTTATTCATCTGCCAGATTGCCCAAACGCCTGGTCCCAAATCCATGTTTTTAATTTCCTTCTAAAGGAAAGGAGGGATGTCGCTGATCTAATTTACCCGGGGAGTGAATTCCATAGGTGAGGGGCCACCACCGAGAAGGCCCTGCTCCTCGTCCCCGCCAATCTCACTTGAGATTTCTCCATAATATAATATGACTTATACACAAGAGTTTAGGATGATCAAATTATTTGTAGAAAGTAATTCAGTATTTGTGAACATTTAGGCTGAGTGGTGCTTGTTGTGGAAGATTTGCAGCCAATTTTTCTCACCATTCCATATATTTACAGAATGCTATATTTCTCTATATAATGTAAGCTGAAATGTATAATATATTCTTTTTTCTCAGTTCAACCCAAGGTCTTAGTAAAGGACACTGTCAAAAGCTTTATGATTGTAAAAGCAGGTGATACCATTCGTGTACGCATTCCCTTTGAAGTAAGTGAATTGTCTATGTTGCCTATGTTGTCTATTTATTCTTACTATAGTAAGTAAGTAAATCGGGTTCTTATATTAGAAAGTTAATCGTATAACTTGAAAACTTTATATTATTGTACAGATTCTGAACTCATTTTATAAGTCATTTTTGTGCCACTTTATATTCACCATAGGAATGTTGAAAACATTTTCCTAATGGTAAGTGATCTATAGCACTGTCACACTTTTACAACCTCATAAGATGGTGCAATTTTCCCATCATACGCTGCTAGCTCTCGCCTTTTGCCATTGCGCCCATTGCACAATGTACATCTACTTCTAGCTTGGCTATGTGGTGAAAGGGGAGAGCAAGCTGTGTACACTACTGCCATGGCAACATAGGAGGCTTCCTGTGTTATCTTTGCTACAATGAGGGGAAGCCGGACAGGATGCTTCTCTCTTGTGGGATGAGGCTAGCGGTAAGTCAGGAAATGTGGGGCGATGGGTTCTCCATGTTCCCCTCTGGGACACCATTAATTCACCACAATTCAGTGGCGAATCCCTCACTTAATGTGATAAAGTCCCTATAATTGGCTTATTTGCTCATTGTATTTCAGTTGAATTTACTTCTTTAGAGATGTCTGTCTTGAATACAGAGTATTTCTTTGCTGGTAGAAGTGAATTCAGAAACCCTTGTTTGATAAAGCTAAATACAGGAATCTTAAGTTTCTACTGATTTGGAATGGGAAACTTCAGCAAACTAATTGATATAGTTTCCTCTGGAATATGCCCATTACTTATACCTATTACGTCTTAGTCGTATAGAAATGACTACTGAAAAGTGTAAAGAAAAGTGACTTTGTATGAACTGAAAGGGCTGTAGCCTACTTAAGGATGACCAAATGATGTTCCTTAGACTTGATTTGCAGGACCAAGGTGGTGTAGTGGTTTAAGTGTTGGTCTAGCATACTAGGAGACTACATTTGATCCCTTACTTAATCAACAAAATCCATTGGGTGATTTTGGGCAACTTACTCTCTCATACTAACGAGAAAGCAATAGCAAACATCATTTGACTACATCTGGCCACAATGCAGCCCCAGAAAACTGAAGTTGAGATGAAAACACATAACAACAATGGGCTTGATTCAACTCCAGAAATACGTTTGGTCTGACCCTTAAAAAACTACCACATTTTCAAAAAAGTAACTTACCTTTATATAAATGTACCATATTTTTATGTGCTGGGTTTCACTCATAAAGAGAAGAATTTTTTTAGAAGTAATGTAACTCAACTGTTCATTTTTGTTCCTCATATGTGGAATAATACAAGGTTTTATAAAAATTACTTTTTGAACTCCAGCTCTAGGATTCTGGTCATGCTACAACTGGCTATTGGTAGCTGGAGGATTTAATTCTCTGAAGGCTGTAGTTCTCAAAAAAAAATTTCCAAGTTCTGAGTAACCCATATTTTACAGTGCTACATCTAAGTCTTTGTGCCTTTACTGCAAAGCTCTCACTGTTAGATAGGTAACAAGCCTCAGGAGAAAATTGCTGAAGAGGACCCAATGTAATTTTTGTCAGCATACATTTACAGCCTACAGCCATGATCTGGAAGTAGCTTCTGCAAATTACAAGTGACCATCCCATGTCTATGTAACCTGTATATTGTATTAAAAAGGAGCGTAAGCCAATTATCTATTTTCCACTTGACAGGCTTCCCCTCCTCCTGAAGTGTATTGGCTAAAGGATGGGCATGTTCTCACTGCAAAGGCCACAACTGCCACAAGAGAAGGTGTGAGCCAACTTATTATACCAGCAGCTGACTTTTCTGACAGCGGGCATTATTCCATTGTCCTGAAATCTGAACATGGGAAAAAAGAGACCTTCAGCTTCCTAGTCCAAGTTCTAGGTAAAGATGGAATGAGATTGTAAGAGTACATGTACTATCTGTGATCTCTTACCTTGAAAATCAGTTGAATGGCATATTCCTGCTTCAATAATAGTCCTTTGTTATTTTAATAACACTTTGTGTGTAAGCAGATGTGTCTATTGATATTCTTAGGATATGGCCTGTGGAGTATTTAGATGTGACAAGTCAGCATATTTAGGACTGCCAAAAAAGGGATTATGGAGTACATACCATAGCAGGCCTTTTGGGGCAACTGTCAGCAATGGAATAAGATACCAGCCACAAGTCATCACAGTCTGTCAGCCCCTTGGTTTACAGTTTACAAAAACAGTTGTACCAACTGTCAACAGGCATTTCTGTCTTGGAGACAAAGAGGGTGAAGATTGGCTCCTTTCCAAATGGAAGCTCAAAGTTAACGCTGATTTAAGATTCTTTAAGTTGAATCCTCCTTATCCCTGCCTCTTAGGGTATAAAAAAAGTAACAAGCTCAAACAAATGACAGCATTGTGAAAATATGAATCCATTTACATCTTCATTTTTAATAAAGGGAGTAGCTGACAAATTAAAATATTGATTGTAGCAGACTATTGTAGGCTATTGTACTGTGAGGCTATCTGAAATTTTATTAGCTATGCATTATTGGCAAACCGGATTTTCTATAGAAAATTATTTTTAAATGGAAACAAAATATATCTAATTTAAGAAATATATGTTGCTGGAAGGGGAGGGGAGGTTTTAAACAATTCACCAATCCCATCAATTCTCCTGAACAAAATGCATGTTGACAGAGATCCTGCATGTGTGCATAACTCTTCATGGGCAATTCTGCATCCTCCCACTATTTAGCAGCTGTCAAGCTCTAGTAGGGAAGGAAGAAAGTGGGAAGAAAGCTGCAATTCAGTTGCTCATTTCAGTTGCAGGGGGAAAATGAAGATGAACTCTTAAATAGTATGCACCCACCTTTTCCTTCTCTCTAAAGCTCAGAGCAGCCATATATTCATGGATTAATGAATCTGGGGAGAGCCTTCTGTTGGCTTTGTATAAGATGGCATTTCTCTTCATAATTTTTCAACTTTTATAATGTATATATTATCCACTTGTCTCATCTCAAAAGTTCAGACAGTGCCTCCAGATGTTACTTTTTCTGTTTGCAGATGTCCCAGAAGCTCCTGGTCCTATACAACTTGTTGAAAGAGTCCCTGATACAGTGACTCTGATGTGGGAGCCATCCCCAACAGAAAAGAGAGACAGAAATCTAAACTATATGGTTATGAGACGTGACTCCAGCAAAGGATCCTGGCATATGGTGGCTGATCTGATATACACCAACAAGTGCACTGTTGCAAATTTTGTTCCAGGCCGGGACTATTTCTTCAGAGTTCTGGCAAAAAATTGTATGGGAGTAAGTGAGCCTTCAGAAACTGTGCAGCCCTGGAGTATTCACAAGGAAAGGGGTAAATATGATTTAATTGATTGATGCATTACATTTTATCCCATCTTTCCTCCAATTAGCTCAATTTGACAGACACTACTTCTCTGCACTTTCTTCACACAACAATCACAATAAAGGCAGTTGCCCTTCCCTGTTATTGCCCCTCCAGTACCTTTATCTAATAGAATCATAAACACACAAAAATTGTTGCAACTCTTACTAAATCAATATTAGCAGGATTATATGTTAATATAATATGCACCCTGGGTTTATTTTTGTGTCAAATACAGGTAAATTTGAAGTAAAACTTCCAAAGTACAAGGGAATCAACCAAAAACAACCTCCAAGATTCCTTGTTCTACTGAAACCTCATGTAGTGACTTTGGGATTTGATTGTCACATGAGTTGTGCTGTGACTGGCTATCCACCACCTCGGGTAACCTGGTACAAAGATGGCAAGAACATCTCCAAAGATCCAACCTTCTTCAGCAAAAATGACCTTGGGGTCTGTTCACTGGTGATCCCAGGAGTTGCAGCCTCAGATGCTGGCGAGTACATGGTGGTGGCCATCAATGAGCTAGGTGAAGCAAGTAGCAAAGCTGGACTTGCCATAAAAGGTAAGCCAAAGAACAATGGAGGTCTGTCACCTGCATGTAGCACATTATCATTTAACATCCCTAACGTGCTCCAAAGTAGAGTCCTTCCTTAAGTTTAGCTGTTCAATTTGCCATAAGACACAAATATAGGACTATGGCAAAAGGATGGTAGTAAGTAAAATTCTGGCTCAGTATCAGAAATCTATTCACCTTTAGCAGCCTCTCTTCGCTGTTGCCATTTTCTTCTATTGGATCAGTCAGCAACAGTGGAACTTGGCATTAGACAAGACAGTGGTGTGTTCCTGGGCATGACTTCTTTAAGAGAAAGTTTGGTAGGAAAAGCTGAATTAGTATGGAATATAGATTCCCACGCTAAGTAAAACAAAGACAATTCCCCTGCCCAAAAAATACCTAACATTGTGAACATGTGAACATGTGAATTTAAATAAAATAAATTGGAAGAAGAGAGTTATAGCTACTGAGACAAACTTCCATATATTTCTCTTTCTTCTCTGTTTTGTTGTTTGCACATGCTGAGCAAAGAATGTTGGAAATAGCTCTTCTTCATTTTGCCTATTGTGGGTAAATAAACACAGCTACATTAGGATCAGCAAGAGTAGAATCCCAATATTTTCCAGCTCACACTTCATAGCATTTTTCAGTGCACCCAACATCAAACATGTTTATTTCATCATTCACCTAATAGCGAGGCAGTTATAATCTTCTACCTGGACAGAAGATGTGGCGGAAGAGGATGGGGATTATGTACAAATCTTTGTAAATCGAGCTTCTTTGTCAGAGTGTTGTTAATAGAAGTATGTTAATTGAAGCATATAAATCAGGGGACTCTGAACTAAGGCTTGTGGGCCAGATGCAGCCCTCCAAGGCAATTTACCCGGCGCCCAATGTAAACTTTAGACTTAGGGTGGCCCTAAGACTGAAACAACTCAAAGGCACACAATTACAACAATCCTAATTAACTTGACTATCTAATAATCAGCCAAAAGCAGGCCCACACTTCCCATTGAAATACTGATAAGTATTTGTTGGTTAAAACTGTTCTTCATTTCAAATATTGTATTGTTTTTTCATGGTAGRTTTCTCTATAAATAAGATATGTGCAGTGAACATGAATTTGTTCATGTTTTTTTRCAAACTGTAGTCTGCCCCCAGCACACTGAGGAACTATGAACTGGTCCCCTGCTTAAAAACTTTGAGGACCCCCTRAAGGATGTGGAAGGATGTGGAGGAAGGGGGTTGCAAGTTTTTTCTCCTGAAAATCGTATATTCAAAAACTTTTCAAAACTTACAAAAAAACTCTTTTACTGAAACCAATGGAACATTAATGATATCTGGACAGTAGGTCTGGAGTGAGTTCTGAAGTTCAAAAGTTAACATTTTCTGTACAATTCATAAAAAAAATGAGAACCAGAGTTCAGAATTAATGTGTTACAAATAAGATAATTATCAAAATCATAGAATCATAAAGTTGGAAATAGACCTCATSGGCCATCCAGTCCAACCCCCTGCCAAGAAGCAGGAAYATRGCATTCAAAGCACCCCCGACAGATGGCCACCAAGCCTCTGTTTAAAAGCTTCCAAACAAGGAGCCTCCACCACACTCCGGGGCAGAGAGTTCCACTGCCGAACGGCTCTCACAATCAGGAAGTTCTTCCTAATGTTCACATGGAATCTCCTTTCTTGTAGTTTGAATCACACAATAGTGTTTATTTAACATGATGACTGGTAAAATTGTTACTTTTTAGCTTAACAAATAATGTTTACTCATTATTTCTAAGTCGTTGTGTTGAAGAGGAATTTGTATTTTAATACAAATTTATGTTTGTGTTTTCAAAATGTAACGAAAAGATATTAACATACGATTAACATTGCAGTTTTCAAACTATGAGTGCCATTAGTGAGTATTTTTAAAATTAAAAAGATTCACTTTCAAAAAATAATATTCCAGGCTGTTATAAGAACACATTAGAACATAGTTTCTCATACTGTGGTCCTCCAAATGTTTTGGACTTCAGCTCCCACAATTCCTAACTGTTGGTAAACATAACAGCTGGTAAGATGAAGTCCAAAACACCTGGACGAGCACCATTTGGGAAACACTGCATTAGAATAAAGTTTCAGGACTAAATTACACATGATGTTAAAATTGATAATTGACAGATTCAGATCATATATAGAGATGAAAGATAACCTAATGTATTTCCTCAATTGTAAAATGCACTCTAATTTCAGTACCACCACCAATGACAAAAATACAGAAGATACAGCTGCAATTCTAAGATGAACCCCATTTTTAGAGATATTTATATGGGGAGAAAAGTGTGCCTTAGAATGGAATAAATACAGTATTCCTCTCCTGCAGTCTTAAGGAAGACACCTCTTCTGCAGATAATATTTAATTTAGAAGCACATCTAAAGGTTCCTAGAATTAGTACCTAGAGCTAGGGTGGTGCATTGAATATGTGGTTGGGCCATAGCTTCTATCATTCCTATCATTGCCATGCTGGCTGGGACTGATGGAAAATGGAGCACAAAAACAACTCTGCAGGCATACAGATTCTCTACAGCCATACTAGAGACGCGATCTTTTCTTCTTGATTTCATTTTGTTTCTTCTATTTTCCTTTGATTTCTCAACTTATTCCAACTTTCCTTTCTGCTACATTTTGTGACAGTGAATGAGGGACAACAAATCACTAATTCATGGGATATACTTGCAAAATGGTTTGCCTTGAGAGTCTTAAAACAATAGGCTCACCATTGTACTCTAGAATTAATGCACTTTGAAATCATTTTGACTGCCAAGGCACTCAATACTATGGAATCCTGGGAGTTGTATCCTTCAAAGTCTTTAACCTTCTCTGCCAAGGAGTGCTGACACTTTAGCAAACTACAAATCCTAGGATTCCATAGCACTAAACCATGGCAGTTCAAGTGCTGTCATACTGTAGGTGCACCCTAAATGGCATTTTACTAATACCAATAATCTCCTTTCCACACACTTCTTTCTTTCATTCCTATAAATACTTAACATTTTCATTTAACATTTTTCTTTATTTCTTCTCTTTTTCCTTTGGAAGACCCTGTTTTTCACTAGCATGGGCTGCACTGTAGCAGCTTTACCCTGCCTGCAGTGTGATAATGTTTTCTCATAAAACTGTCTGCACTCTTACTGAAGGATGCGTATTTACCTTATGTCAACAGCCTGACGGCTCTACCTGGCACAGCAAGTGTGAGCAAAACAGCAGCTGATATTTTCTGCATTTTCCATAACAGGAAAGCCAACTGAAAAGATGCATGCACTTCCATCAAATCGTTTTGCTAAGAACAAAATACAAGTACACTTACCATAGCCTTTGATGGAAATACCACAGAAAAAAGGGACAATCATTGAGATGGGCCCAGCAAGAAAAGTTAGTCATGGAAGAAAAATGATTATTTATGCATTTCAATAGAGTGCCAACTGAGATTTTGCAAAACCAATAGAAATATGCGCTAGAAAATCCCCTCTGAGATCTAAACTGTGAGATGTTCTGACTATGTACAAGGAAGTCCAACTTGAAGATATTGTGTGTGGATGTTTTGCAATCAGAGTTAAAACATTTGGAATTGTTCAGTTCAAGAACACCCAGATTACTTGGAGAGATCTCGTTTGTTTCATACATCAGTTTTGTTGCACCTGTTCAATATCAGTAAAGCTGACAAATAACAGAATTGGGGGAATGCCACCCTTATAATATGTGGGGTAGCAAAGGCAGATTTTGAAATATAATTAACTTTAAAGTACAAATGAAAATATTTTCAGATATTCTGATAGCATATGCTTCATCAAGGATCAAATCAGTGTTTGAGTTTGTTTAACAGCGAGTTGCATCTTGATTCCCCCCCCCCCCCAATAATGTCCCAATAAAATTGAAGTTTTCCTGCTCTCTGCATTTTCACTTGAACTAATAGCAGCTTGATGTTATTATTTTAAAGCATTCACTGAACAACCTCTGTAGATGCCTAATGCAGAATATCCAAAAATATACAGCATGGTAATATGAATATGTGGGATGACTTTTACTCCACCCTGTCAAATATAATTCTAGAAGCAGATTGATTATAAAGCTTTTTCTCTGTCATATTAGACCGAAACAACATTTTATTCATATGTCTTAAAGTAATACCACATTTGTCCATGATCATAATTAGTCAGGAGTCTATCTGCTCCCAAATATATGTCTCAAATACATGGTTGTGGGGACTGTGGTGTGTTTCATAAAATCATAGTTGGAAGAGACCTTGTGGGTCATCCATTCCAACCCCCTGCCAAGAAGCAGGAAAATCACATTCAAAGCACCCGTGACAGATGGCCATCCAGCCTCTGTTTAAAAGCTTCCAAAGAAGGAGTTTCCACCACACTCCAGGGCAGAGTTCCACTGCTGAACTGCTCTCACAGAAAGTTCTTCCCAATGTTCAGGTGGAATCTCCTTTCCTGTAGTTTGAAGTCATTTTTCCATGTCCTAATCTTCAGTGCAGCAGAAAACCAGTTTGCTCCCTCCTCCCTGTGACTTCCCCTTACATATTTATACATGGCAATCATGTCTCCTCTCAGCCTTCTCTTCTTCAGGCAAAACATGCCAAGCACTTTAAGCAGCTCCTCATAGGGCTTGTTCTCCAGACCCCTGATTATTTTAGTTGCTCTCCTCTGGACACATCTCCCTTCAATTGCAGTGCCCAGAATTGGACACAGCATTCCAATTGTGGTCTGAGTAAGGCTTCATCTGTGATGTAGGGATCTGGAAAGGTCCAATGAAATTGTACGGAATTTCATTGAGGTGTCATGGCATCAGACTGCTTGCAAGAGGCTAAATCTACCCAAGAAGTTAAAGTAAGGCATATCTTAAGTAGCCTTATACTTTATGGGCCAGAAGAAAATAAAAACATATTATCAAACCAAGGCAAGAATGATCGTCTTTCTAAATAATCTACCAGTCTTGAGTATTTGAACGTAGGCCAGCAGTATGGCTCATCTTTCCTAGTTCAGATTTTCAGCAGTGAGGCGGGGTTTTTCTTTCTCAACACAGCTCCTTGAGAAGCCCTTTCAACTGGAGACCTGTATGTGTATGCCCGTGATTCTCCACTGTCTAATATGTCTCTTCTGATACTTCTTCAGTACACCATTGTTGTATGAGAGCATCACTGACAGGACAATGATATGAATAATTTCTTATGTTATGACTGGTTATAAATCCTCAAGATATGACAAGGCTAAGAAGGAACTCAGAAGGTAAAAAAGTTTCTCCACCAGAGGGAGTCCTCCTGAGCAGAGGACCAAGTATAATAAAACCTCCCATATCCATAGATTTAATATCATGGTTTCACTTATCCACATTCCAAAATATTCCCTTCTGAAAGTATATGTTGGTCTCTCTAAGTTTTCCAGCTTGGTTTCCAGCCCAGTTATAGTCAAAATATAGGAGTCASTATTATCCATGGTTTTAGGTATCTATGGAGGYTCTTGGGACATTATTATTATTATTATTATTATTATTATTATTATTATTAAACTTTATTTGTACCCCGCTAGCATTTCCCAAAGGACTCGATGCGGCTTACAAAGGCCAAGGCCTCAAACAACAACAACAAKAGACAATAARAATACAATGCAAGCAAATTAAAAACATAAGCAATAACAACAACAAAACATTACACTATTACGCAATAAATCCAGGGCCGGGCCAATGAAGGGTACAGGTTAAAAAAGTGCTGGGTGTAAGAGGTGATATGTTGGGATTCTGGGCAAGTGCAATGTGCAGAGAGTCTTAAGCTCTAATAAAGTGCTTGTGGGACGTAGTGCTGGAGGTTATCCTATTCAGGAAAGGCACATCGGAATAGCCAGGTCTTCAAGTTCTTCCTAAAGACTTCCTAAAGACATATCATCCCACAAACACTGTACTCATCAGACTGCAAACATTTGTTGTTTTCATAGAAAAAGTGAGTCAGAAAGGAGAAAGGGTTTTTCTTGCTTGTGCTTTTTATTTTGTTTGGTTTTAAGAAACCATGGTCTTATGTTTTTAGACAGATGAAAAAACGCAGCAAAATCACCACAAAGAAATATTTTATATGTTTAGTTTTGCATGGCCCTAAAATATTTTTTTAAATGATGGGTGACACTTGGAGTGACAAAGCTGACTTTAATAAACTTGGTATGGAAAATAATATGTGAAAACATTCAAAATGTCTTTATTTATAGCATCTTTCTTGATTTTAAATTGCACATTCAGCAAATCAGTGTGAATAAAAATCAAAGGGAGAGCAAGAGAAGCAGAAAGGATGTATTCTTGTGTCTACTGCTCCACCACAGTCTGCAGCTTTTCATGTTTGGGTTTTGCCTACATAACACATGGCTGCTAAATTATTCCTACCCATTTTGGATTTATTTGATGGATTTTATTTGATTGTTATTTTTATATTTGTGTGTAATTGCTGCTGTAAACCACCTTGGGTCTTTGGAGAAAAGCGGTTTAGAAATGTCCTAAATACATAAATAAACACAGTGCTTCAGAAACAGCTACATATGTTTATTCAAGGTACAGAGGTACAGCTATGAACAATAGAATAAAATGCTCAGTATATGCACCCTTATTTACGATGTAAACCTCTACTTAAGCAGGTGTAAAGCTGTTGGATTTCATATCACAAAAGAATATCTGAATTGATCAAACCGCTGATAGTAGCCTGCAGCAAATTTCTTGGGAAGCATCTATTTTTGTTAACAGTATGGCAATGACTTGGGAAATCTACTACTTTTCCTAAGGAAAAAATGAATCCACTTTGTTTCTTTCCCTTAAAAAACCCAATTCTGTTTGCATGTCAGCTCACATAATTAAATCACAACTTAGCACTTTTATCTGGAGTAGCAATGGAACATCCGAACAACCGAAACCAGTCAGCAAAAGAGAACCACAAGATAAAAATCTGCCTGTGTTTATTGTTCCTCCCACTCTGGCAGAACTTCATAAAGTCTTTTTGACATTTTAAATAAGAATTAAAAGGCTCCCCTCTTATCTTTCATCAAATTTGGTTGTTTGCCTAAAAAGGAATGAACAGTACAGAACACCTTCTATGGTTATCTCTTTGCACCAGGTCTAAACTCCTCTTCACAGTCCTTTCCACTCCACACAGCCAGCCCACCCTACTGTCACCCCTATTCTTTCTTTCTCATTCCACTATTTTATGGAAAACTGTCATACTGTCACAAAAATATCATTGCAGATTTGATAAATATGGATTTGATATAATGATGTGTGGGAATGAATGGAAGAATGGAAGGATGTATGGATGGAGCTAATAATTTTGGAGACACCAGTATAATATTAAGGTCTGCAATGACTAACTACCTGCTTGCTGGACTGTAATTAAAAGTTGCTAATAAGAGCTGAAAAGTAAACACTGATAAGAATTGGGACAGTGATAACAGAAATGTTTACAATGTTAAGAAAGAAGTCAACACAAGCCTTGTGTTTGTTAACACCAATCAAGAAGATCAACATTTTGCCAGGAAACTGAGATGGAGCCAGGATGGAAGACGTCTATTATTAATTTATAATTTTGGGACTACATCAGCAGAATATTCCCATGAAAGACTCAGTCTAATAATGCTCAAAGTGTGGCAGACCTGAGGAGACTGTTCCACCCACTATGCTCTGCTCCATGGGAAGGAGAGAGTGTACCTATGGAAAGTGGCAAATCTGCGCGGGAGCAGTCTGGTCACTTTGGGGCTTCTTTCTCAAGGGAAGAGGGAGAAGTGTGCTTTTGGAGTCTTGGATTTTGTGCAGGGAGTCAGGCTCTGCTGTATGGAAAAGAGAGATCTGGTCCTTGGCATTGTTCTTAAGGAAAGAAGTTTTGGCATTTCAGTATTTTGAAGTTTTGGCGTTATGGAACTATGCATTGACAGGCTGCAGGAAAGCAGGGTCTAGCCTAACAGGTGCTTCTCCAAGGAGGGAGAAAAAGATATGGGAATATTTCTGTGCATGAGGATGAATGCATGTACATGTGTGTGAATGTTGAGTGAAAATGTAATTCCCCCTTGTTTGTTAATCAATGTAACTGTGAATCCAATGTAGTTGCATAGAATCTATATGTCTGTATGTCTAATGTCATTCTTTGTCTAAATGTTTTTCTGTAATCTGATATACCCTCTCACACTGGAAATTGCAATAAAAAGAACCTATGCTTCAAAGTTAGTGAAAAGTCATTCATGACAATACATTCGTTACCGAAAAGATACACATCCTTTTCCAGGTGCATTTTTATTTCAGCTTCTCTTTTGAAAGTCACTGCACGGGATCATACAATAGGAATGGGTAAAGAAAGTAATGTCTCATCTGAATCACAAATAGTTTCTTGTATAGTAATTTTTTAAAGTACAGATTTGTATGAGAGAAAAATGGGGATGAATATTTTCTCCATTTTAGTTTATCTCAGTAGTTCATTTTATTCCCATGCTGCATGAGATTCAATGTAATCTTTGTACCCATTTTGCCTTATTTATTTTTTGCAAATAACATTTCCTTTTTGTACATTTTCCCCCATTAATACACACTTTTGTGAACCTTTTCCTTATATGTATCAATCAATTTGTTTACACATTGGAGAACCATTTTAATTACTCTGTTGGTGTCAATTTAGGTTCACATCGAAAGTTTAACCAAATTAATATCTCCCCCATCCTTTAGAAAGACTGGTAATTTTTAGAAAGAGCTGCATTTTACCTGTGTGTATTTGTTATATGTATTTGAGTAGTGATTTCTGCCATTGAATTCCACAAGCATGTGGACAATTTCAGCAGAAAGGAGGAAACCATGAAAATTAACAAAATCTGGCTACCAGTATTAAAAAGACCCTAAAATCCAGACAGTAAATAGAGATCAACACTCTGAAAACAGGGGAAATCCAGATATGAAACTATCAGGGCTGGCTAACACCTCCCAACAAATTATTCCTCCCCAAGGCAGGAATCAGCCAGGCCTTGAAGCTGCAAGGCTTTTCAATGCGAATCAAGATGATTAATTGCATCATTCACACTTGCCTCCAACAGACAAGAGTTCTTTCTCCCACCCTGGACCTTCCACAGATATATAAATCTCCCTTGCTTAGTTTCCACTATACCTCACAATCTCTGAGGATGCCTGCCATAGATGTGGGCGAAACGTCAGGACAGAATAGAACATGACCATACAGTCCGGAAAACTCACAGCAACCCAGATGTCTGCTTTGTTTTTCTTTGCTATTTCAACTATGTTTTACCCTGCCTTGAATCGCAAAGAAAGGTAGGTAATAAATATATTATTATTATTTTACTGACACAAAAACACAATATGTCATAGCAAACGAGATATATATGCTGGATTTCGTATCACAAAGTGTTGTTGTTGTTGTAAAAAATCTTTATAGTTTAGTAAATCAAGACCTATCTGTCATATGACCAAGTAAAGCAGATATAAAAAATTATAGATACCATTGTATAGAATATTGCTTCTTAAACTGTTTGTCTTGACCTCAAATGGGGTCCCCTTAGCTCAGTGTTGAGGTTCTTAAAAATTGGCAACAATAACCTAGTGGCTGTTTTAGACATTTGCACAAATCTGCTGTGCAGTGTTTACAATGGACTCTGCTGAACATGCTTTCACTGTTTCGCAAGTCTTGCCAATGCTACTCTATTATCACTAAATGATTTATTTTAATTATGTATTTTATACCTCTATACCTTGGGTCATGTACAAATTTCATAGTCCACAAGTGGAAAATTTTAAGGAGCCTTGGTGTAGAGAAAGTGTAGACAATTGCAAGTCACATGAATAAGATAATAATAATAATAATAATAATAATAATAATAATACAATAATAAATGTATATACTGCTCCCCCCCAAGCTTGACACTGAAAATGGACATAAAATTGCTTCAAAATGTTCTCTAGTGGGTATAGAGGACATTTGAACCACATTTGAAAGTCCACAAGGCCTTGCATAGAGGGGCAAACAGTTTATTTACAACATTTTTGCATTTCCCCCCAAAAAACCTCTTTTTGTTCCAATATGTCTTGCAGGAAGCATGGGATATTTTCACTACATTTTGGGCCAATTTAGGTACAAGGGAATCCTTTTTTGAAACAAGATGTTACTTCTGCTGTTTTTCTGTTGTTCAAAAAAGTCTTCTTCTAGGCATAAGATAACCCAGGAAGGTCAGAAACATGGTGAAAATGCCCATTTCGTCCCCTGAAGGGAATTTGGGAGCAAATTAATTGTAGGAGCAGGTGTCGGTGGGGTGATACAACCCTCCAAAGGTTGTTAGGGGGTCAAATACCTCTTCTTACTCTTCCAAAATTGTCCACTCCTGTTCTAGATATTCAGTATGAAGTAATAGTTTGTGTATTGGACTATAATTTCAGAATCAGTGTCAAAACCACACTCATCATGAAAACCCACTGGATAACACAATATTTCCAGAAGATCAATGTCAAAGTCACAGTCATCATGGAAACACACTAGATAACCAAGGTCATCCAATGGTTTTCCATGATAAGTAAAATAAATAAATATCAGAATAGATCAATGTGAAAACCACAGTCATCATAGAAACGCACTGGATAACCAAGGTCATCCAATGGTTTTCCATGATAAGTAAAAAAAAAAAATTTAGAATACATCTTGAAAAACCCTATGATAGGGTAGCCATAAGTCAGAGGTCTCTCAATAATACATAACAAAGATACTATTACAGTTGTCTGAAAGCACAACTTTGTTGTTGTTGTTGTATTGTTTTTTAATGTTTTTAGGTGCTTTGGGACTCTTTTTTAGAGAGATAAAGTGGGATATAATAATAACAGCAGCAGCAGCAACAACAACAGCTGTTGCTGTTGCTGTTGTTGTTGTGTGCCCTCAAGTAATTTATGACATATGGTAACCCTAAGGTGAACCAAGCATGGAGCTATTTGCAAAACCATGTCAAATAATGGTAGAGGTCGCAAAAAACATATCATGTGAACAACATAGCCCGTGAAAAGAAGCCAATGTTTAATAAAAATGATATTTTATCTGCTTTTACATGAAGTGTTTTCATAGTGGTTGCAGAAGACAGACATTCAGACTTGGAGATGCATCCAAATATCTTCAGAAGAACAATCACAAAAAAGAACCCCCAAGTTTCTTTCTTTTTCATGACCTCTCAGTACTTGGTAGAAATTCACCTTGCTTTGTTTTTATGAAAATAAAACAAAATAAAACAGAAACCTAACTCATTTTTTTTATTTTTCCACTTATATTCCTTTTTCATTAAACAAGTAACATTTTGTATGATAACATTTTTAAAGTGATGTTTACAAAATATTGGATATTCCCACACAAATATGTCATTGATGAAAGGAGCAGTGAACATGTCTTTGCAGTTATGAGCTATACCAGTTATTAATCTGGACCATGGATCTTCAATATACAGTGACAAGGTGTGATTGTAAAGGTAGAATTTATAAAGTGAGCCTTCCCTCTGGCTTATTTTATACATAGAATCATAGAATCAAAGAGTTGGAAGAGTCCTCATGGGCCAGTCCAACCCCCTGCCAAGAAGCAGGAATATTGCATTCAAATCACCCCTGACAGATGGCCATCCAGCCTCTGTTTAAAAGCTTCCAAAGAAGGAGCCTCCACCACACTCCGGGGCAGAGAGTTCCACTGCTGAACGGCTCTCACAGTCAGGAAGTTCTTCCTCATGTTCAGATGGAATCTCCTCTCTTGTAGTTTGAAGCCATTGTTCCACGTCCTAGTCTCCAAGGAAGCAGAAAACAAGCTTGATCCCTCCTCCCTGTGACTTCCTCTCACATATTTGTACATGGCTATCATATCTCTTCTCAGCCTTCTCTTTTTCTCCTTCTCTTCTACATGCCAGGTATGGTCTTTGTTTTGTTATACAGGACATGTGTTGAGATAAATATAGACTTCACATTGCAAATCTGCAAACATTTCAAGTGTTGAGACATAATGTTTGCCCCAGACACATTATGACTTTTTTCTTTATATTTAAGGGGGATTATGGGATAGGAATTTGTGGATCCTCCAATTATTGTTGAACTGGAACCCCTAAAAGCTCCAGCCAGTGTTGAGAAACAATGTGAGCTGCAGTGCGTCAAAATCTGGATAGCCAGACAATTCTCACCCTTGCTGTAAAGTTCTGTCTTTTAGAGCCTACTCGTATAAAAATTTCAACACATTAAAAGCTTTACCCTTGTTAGGTGCCAGATGCTTCACTCTGTGGTTATCTGCAAGCTTTCATTAAGAATATACCATTAGGTCTCATTCAAATAGATTGCTCATTTGCACTCATTTTCTTCATTCAAATATTGAGGGGTACATGAGAATTACACTTAGGACCCATCCAGACAGGCCCATGTCCTGGGACCTATGTGGGTTTTTACCGGGGGCATCCCTGGGAAAAATGACACCCTCGGTAAAAACAAATTAATTTGGAATAACCTCAGTTATTCCAAATTAATGAAATACTCCATTAGATCTGGGCCTTCCTGGGGTATTTGGCCTGTGAGGACTACAATGGGGTGAGTCCCCATTTGCCACCCTGAACCTTTTGGGTTTCTGGAGCCCAAAGGTCTAGGATGGCTCCCAAGCCCCTCCCCCCCAAGAACCCTGAAAACTTTAAAAAAAAACTTCCCCAGCAGCCATTAAGGTGAACCTTCTGTCCTCCTGGTGCATAGAAATGGCAGTGGTAGGAGGATGGGGGCAAGGAGCCACATCCACCCCCCGGTCTCGTAGAACATTTCTACTGCCAGGAAGATGGAATGAGCACCTTAATGGCAACCGGGTAAGGTATTTTTTAAAAATGTTTTCAGAATTGTTTTTTTAGGGGGGGGGGGAGGCTTCTGGATGGCTGCATGCTGTCCCAGTAGGTACCAGGATGGTAAGTAGCCACACTCCCTGGGAAAGCCTGGGTTTATTAGGGGTAGGGATGGGAATCCGTGCCAAAATGGGTTTCTTAAACCCACTTTGGTGCAGATTTTYGTGCTGCCTRGAAGTGCCCTTAGGGGAACAAGGGGGTGKTATTGGACTATTTTGTAACTCACAGYTTAATGATTTTCTTGAAGACTGGTAAAGATATCCAAGAAATCTAAAGAAACTATTTGCAAACTGCTGCTTGGTGCACCTGCACAGCTGCATCACGCAACTTAAATTAAT